ATTATTATCGCCGGTATACGAAATAAGAGTTGAATTATTTCCATTGTTATTTCAATCTTGATCATCTATAGATAAAACGATTTCGCAGGAACGAGCGAAGCAATTGCAGAGGATCGGCGAAATGGCCGATAAGAAAACGCGTAAGAATTAGTAGAATGCGACGAAATAAATCTTACGTATCGGCATTGTGGAAGCTAGATAGAAGTCTTAGCCTTGCATCGTAGGTGTGGTCTTGTGCAGCGTAATATTTACGTTGGTTACACGTCGTTGCGATATGAATATTATCGGCTGATCCACGTACATTACGAATAATAATCCGAAAATAACACGCGGTGCCGTTCAACTCGAGCGTATTATACTCAAAATGTTTTTTTATTTTTTCTTCCTTTCTCTTCCTCCCCTCTTTGTGTAAGCTGTATGTACGATGACTAAAATGATAAAAGAACGAGAAGGGAGAATCAATCTTATCTAAATAACTTTCAAACAATATCGTAAAGATTTGGTGAAAAGAAGGACGCTGTATGGCGCAATGATACTGCCCTTGTTCTAGATCGTTTCTTTGAACAGTCTGCACTCAACCTCGGGCAAAAGTGGAGGCCATACATAGATAGAGGGGGAAAAGTATTGTCTACAATGTTGAAACTCGGAGCAATTATTCGTATAGCTGTGATTGAGATGTAGAGATGAAACGTCGAAATGTTTCAACGTTAAATACATGGAATGTTACATGGATTCTTTAAACGCTAATTGAATACAAGGACAGGCGTTATGGTCGTTGGTGAAGTGGCCAATTCGAACATGAACGTTATCCCGTGCGCATTGCGAGCCTTGATATGATAATTAATAATTGATTAAGTTGTCTTATTTACCATAGGAATTTAGGTATACAGATCCTCCCACAGGGGAGCGTACAGGGATAGTTTTAATATACGTTGAAAACGCCGAGGCCGATAATTATGTAAAATAGGAACGATCGTGCAGCATAGAGAAACGTGTATTTAGAAGTGGATTAATCGGCGAGACACATGATAATAAATTGTCAATAAAATCGTATAATTTATTACTTAACAAGATTTACCAACTCATTCCGATCACGTTACTTACGAAGATTGGATTAATTACGACGTACAGATCAACGTTTGATTCCTTTCCTTACGAAAGTTATTCTGTAAAATATACGTAACAGAACTATTTGTTGTTTTAAATATTTCAATCGTATTATGTATAACCCTTTGCTAACGTTTGAGAGAGAGAGAGAGAGAAATTGTCTCGTTTTGTTTATGACAATAATATTATTATTAATAATAATATCGTGCGCAAGAAAAGAAAAATAGAGTTTACACCGGTTTAATACTATTGCGTGGAGATTGTAATTAACTGGAAGATCGAATGATTTAATTCGTTCGACGAGTACGACGGAAAGTGCTCCTGTGCCTTGAAACGCGTGACAAGAGGTACGCAAATTAACTGCTGAGATACGATCTTAATTCGCCTGTCTATACACCATTCCTTCGTGGTATATGAATAGCTAAACAACTGTTCAAAGTTGGAATAATTAATCGTATCGTTTCCACATTCTTATAATAACCTTCATTCTTATAAACAAATTTCGTAATTTTTCTAATACCGTTTATGATGTCATTTTGTTCCATTCATCGAAGTCACCGCATACAAGATAAATCTACAAATTGTTAAACGAGTCTATTATCGGATAAAATCAAAGATGAATCGTTCACCAACGATATCCCACACTAATCATTGTCATTTCTCTTATTGTTTTACCTTTCCCATTTACGCGCGCATGTCGAACGATTATGCAAGGATCCGAGCGTGGCTTTGTTCCATGCAACTCGAAAGCCCGAGGAATAATTAAGACGTTCAATGATTCATCCACGTTGATGGATCAACTCGAACATTTTGCTTTCTCTTCATAACGAGTTGTATCAGTGCGTTTCAGAGAGAAACCCGGCCGATCACCGCGATAATAATTAGAGGAAGGAAGCCGATTTACCCCGAACGAGATCGGAAATAGAACGCAGTAATACTCGCGCAAGGAACAAAAAATAGGAATGTAAGTTGAAACGCTACGATATGGATAAAAAAATGTTGGAAATTTGAGATATCGAGCATTTTGAAAATGAAATTTTTTATTGAAAAGTAAAGAATTTGCACGTTCGAAAATTCGGATATTCGAGAAGGCGAGAAGTTTGAAAACGCGAAAAGTAAAAAGTCTGGTAATCGAGGATCTGAATGTTGTAAAATTCAAAAATATTAATTAAAATAAATATATATATATCGAGGATACGTTTACGTTATTCAGAGATAGTCCTGACGTGAACGTAGATATACGGAGCGCAAGTCAAGGACTCTTTGTTCCTAGAAAGCCTGCATTTTTGTTCTTTGTAATGCACAATAACGGCCATCTTAACATTTTTTTGTTATGTATAATAACTCTTTAAACAACTTTATCGAGACAAGGACAGGCTGAAAAAAGTTATTACATATTAGTATCTCGTTATTACATTTCTCATACTTCATCAGTTAACGCAGGTCTCCTATATCCACTTTTTTTATTTTTGTAATATATGAACAACGAATTTGCATACTAACTTCTATTTTAACAATTTTCGTATTCCTGTCGTGTTATATTAATTTTCATTATATACTATGCATATAAAATGCATATACTATGTACATATGTATATGAATTGTGACGGTAACGATGGAAAAATAGTTGAAGGAATTAATTAAACGTAACTTGTAGCAGGCTGTTCAGATTCTTGTAGCAATTATGCGAATTAAATGAACCAAGATTTCATACTTCGCTTAATGCATATACGCAGCTGTTTAATGGCTACAAAATGCCAATATTATACATAATACGCACGTGGATATACGTATAGTCCTTTCGATTTCAATATAGCAAGATACACCTTTAAAATATTTCGCGCAACGAAAATTTCATCACGACACTTTTGAAAGATATTTTCTGGAAATTATTTCAGATTTAGGACATCTTTCTATCAAGGACTAGGACAATCACGAAAATCCTGAACACGATTACGATCACTGATCGTCACACCGTGATGAACACCCTGTATAATAAATTCATACAATTGCGTAACATGAATAAACGGGGAAAATCGGGTAGATTTAAAGGTAATAAAAATGTCTCATTCATTGTGCGCTAAACGAAACCGATCGAATGTGAAATCATTTCGCGACATTCACTGCTTGCTTTTGAATAACGCGGTGATACCAGTCGTACCATTCTTCTCTCTAATTTCCTTCATCGCGTATATGTGTTATCGTATTAATTCTGTTTCGATGAAAGTTTGTTCATTTTTCAACGTATAAAAGGGAAATCCGGCATTTTTCGATACGCACCATGATGAAAATTTATGGCGCGTTATCCGATACTGAATCGTAAGCACGATCCAAGCGAAATTGGCCAACAACAATAATTTTTAGACGGAGAAACTCGTTGTTTGACTTCAACCTCGACCTCAGGTTCAACTAGAAGAACAATGGGTATTTTCACGTAATTTGCCTCGACCAGGCAAAGGCGAATTTCACGATTTCCTTTATCGTTTCACTTTTTTTTTTCTTTTTAGAAGCAAATACTGTGGTCTTGTACAATAAACTGGATTTATCGATATATTAGCGAAACGTACGCGAGAAAAAGATAGGATTTAATGCTCTACTAAATCGTCCATTATTTTGTTTGAGATTTTGTTTGTTCGTTACTCGATACGAACAAATTCTTTAAAAATATGACTTACGTGTTCTCGCTGTTAAATAAAATTACTTTTCGTCAAAATCAAAATTATGAAATAAGGGTAATTATAATAGTTAAATTGGCTCGTTATTTCAAGTTCTTCGTTCTTATTCTACCGCAAAGAAAATTTTCCTGAGCCAAATTCTAACGACACAGTTCTCCCCAGTTTCTTAGCATCCCTCTTTTTCTAAATTTAGCTTTCCTCGTTTCTTATCATTTGATGTCATAATCCTGTTTCTTTCCTCCTTGAACATAAGTTGTAAATTCAACTCTATATATCAGTATGCTATATATGGCAATCTTTTGTGACGAAGTCCATGGTACAAGTAGCGTTTAAGTTATTTCGATCTTAAGACACGTATATAAATAAACATAAAACAAACGAGCTATGCGGTTCATCTATCATTTTTATCACACCGGTTATGGGAAACTTTAACGAATCGAAGAAACCGGCAATTACGTTCCGTTTTATGTTAGTTGGAATCGTGTATCAGACACCATTTGCACGATTCAGCATCCTTGTGTAACGTTGATCGGGACGAAGTTGTGAGAAAAAATCGCGTGACTTCTTGCAACTTTAAATTCCAGAAATGTTTCCCAGTTGAAGTATCAGTGATTGTCGATTGCGTAATAACGTCGATTATCGTAATTAGTAACTGATTTCTTGTCGTTAACGATCGTTCGAACGTTCATTACGATACACCGAGAATTTCTCATACTGTTACATTGCACGAGATTAAGAATAACGCATACCGATTTTTACGCAATCAGAATGTCTGTACTTCGTTAAACAGTATGCAAACTTGTCTGTATTTATGTTCTCTTCGATTAATGAATCTACATTATGGAATCATTTATGACTGACAATATAGTTGCAAGCGTACGTAATTAAGTACGCGTAGTTGAGCATCAATCGATTAATTCTCGAAAGTTTTCCAATTAAAAGATTTTCCATTACAAATACCGATTATTGATCGTTAGTTCTTAATAATAAAAAAATATTGAGAAATAATAATAAATGATAAATAGTTGATATTATCATTAGATAAAAATATCAATCATCGATCGTGATTTTCCAGTTTTTAATTGAAATTGAACGAAGTTTTAGTCGATGTATAACGAACGCTGTTAACGATGAAGGTAATCATACGATCAATCGACGAATACAGGTATTCCATAATATTTATCGATTTGACATTGACTTTTCTTATTTCTTCGTTATATCGTTATTTGTTGGACGGTATCGAATAATCTATAACTTAACGTACGCTAGTTTGTCGGTGATAGACACGTTAAACGTAAGAATAAAATGTTGCTGTATCTGGGTGTGTTGCTATCTTCTATAGTTGAGATTATAAATTATTATATCGGAGAGTATTGTTACGTTAAAAAGTTGTGTCAACATGACGGTGAGTGCGTGTGTTACTAATTCCTTCAATGTTCATTATCGATAATTGAATTCGAATTTTTCATACGCGTCGTATCAATTACTGGCAAACGACATCGTTAATTAATCGTAAGTTTTAATCGCAACACAAAAAGTTACATCTATGAACATTTAATTACGAGATTAACAGCAGCAAGAAGACAAGTAGATTAAGTGGAACACGATATCCAGCTTCGTTAAAGTTACCGATACGATCTATTTGCATGATCTATTTATTTTCCGAAAAATGAAATTGATCGACTGATCGAAAAAGATATTTTTGGCAGTGAACTTGGTCGTGATCTTTTGTTTATGTTATCGAAAAATAAATAAAACGTAGGAAAATCTTTGAAACGATTAATCACGCATAATTGATCGTCAGACCGTGGATATTTATGCAAATTGAAGAGATGTGACGAAGGTGACGAATGAAAAAGAAGAAATGATTGAAAGAAATGAGAGTTTGAATATTTCACGCATATTACGTGTATTCTGTGTATTTTTACAATTAAAAATTTCATTAATTCGAAGGATATAAAACCGTGGCCGAATTTTGTTTAGATGGGAGAGAACTTACCGAAGACTATGAATCAACTATAGTTCGCATTAAGGTGCCATATTCAGAACGAAACTGTTGCCCGGATAAAATCTCTTCCAATGTGTCAGATAGAAAAGAGAGTTCTACAAATTTGGACAAAACTAAGGAAATAAAACTCGCGCAAGAGGCAAGACCGGTTTTCTCGAAAGAAACGCAGACTGTTTCTGCAAAGTTACCTCACAATGGACACAGGTAATAACCGTGTTTATTTATTAATATAGAAACACTTACATCCGGATAATGATAGTATCGGTGATTTTTAATTGACGAGCTAAACATCTTTAGCAGCGAATTAACCTGTTAACCGAGAAAGACGAATTAACTTGTCAGATGAATTGGCAATCTGTTAGACGTAATAATCGCTTTATTAAAAAAAAAACTATTTATCTTTTTACACGTCGTTTTCTCTCCGTTCAAAATTACGTCGTATTCATATTTCCAAGGAATAACTGAAATTGATCTTTATTCGTTTCAAATTTTACGATTAACTGTATATTGAAAATGACAACGTAGTTCAAGCTCGCCATCAATATGCAGATGCGCTAGTTACAATAAATAGTAACTAGAAAATAGTTCTAGATATAATCGATAGGTTTAAGATGTTCTTTTCTTTTTTATCCCTAGTCCATGTAAGAAAGTGCAATGAAGGTTCGGCTCAGAACGGTTTGATAGATTTATCCAAAGAATAAAATAATAGCTATTGTGATCCTACCTCTAAATACAGAAATAACAACACTGTGTCGTAATTAAGTTCCTTCCTTAATTCTCTATAATACTATTACCAACTATGAACTATCGAATATATATATATCTAAATACATTATACTATAGGGAAATTCTTGTAATTGAAATGGTACAGTGAATATACTTTAGTGAAATACTTTATACGTAATTATTTTTTTTATCTGACTAAAGGACGATATTAGTTTTATAAAAAATAAAAAAAAGACATTTGTTTATTTTCTGCGCTAATTGCAGAACGGAAGAATCTAGAACTGTTTGTTCTTTGCAGAAAAAGATCACAAAGATAAGAAATGTCACTAGTTCCGATACTAAATGAAGTTCCATTAAGTGGAACGCAAATTGAGAATTATCGAGTGTGACAAAATGTTCCAGAACAGCGATTTGGGCACCTGCGCTGAAAAATCAACTAGATAATATTACAAATTCTTCCTCGGAGGCCTGTAAAAATACGACAATAGTGCAAGCTCAGATAGAAGCACGTCCTATGAATATTACGACGGACGACACTGCCGAATCTCTCCGAGACGATAGCGCTAATTCTTCGCAACATTCATCCAGACGCAGTTATTTAACCGATAAAAGAATCAAGAGGTTAAAATGGAAGGCGGAAATTTGCTCGAGGTTGGCACGCAAACATTTCAGTATTTGTCATAGTTCTTATTTTCTTTCCAACCGAATGTCATCAGATATTCTACTTATAAATCAAAGGCTCTATCTGGTTGTCGGAAAGTTCGCAGTGTTTCGAATAGTTTTATAAATAATCCTGATAGACTTATTCTATTATATTTATATCATGTATTTAATTATCGTGTACATGTTACATGTTATAGAACATTGTGTACATGTACATAGCTTTCAGCGTTACGAATTTAATAAGATTTGAAGAGAATTATTTATTATATTCTTTTGTAAAATACAGCTCGATAATACTGCTTTCAGACCAAACGCGTTGATTAAAGAGAACGATATAGCATTTGTCGATAAAAGCAGTATTATTTTCAAAGATTTTGCATTTATATGAAAAATAAATAATCTTTACAAAATATCTTTACGAATTGAATATTCCAGAAACCTGCGAAATTACTTCAAGAAATCCATTGCTAAAAGATGCGTTTTTTTTTTTTTTTTTTTGAAGCAGCGATTATAAAGTTATACGATAAATAGTAAACAGTATTATAAAAAAAGCATTGTAAAAAGTATTGATTACTATGATAGAATATTTTCAGATTTTTCAGAAATTTCGCTACGAATTTTTCGACGAATCCAATACGTCGGTATTTTTATCGTTCAATTATCGTAGAAATTTTGTGCAAACAATTTCCAGATTGGGAAAATTAAGAGGCAAAGACATAAAAAGCAATGAGAGTGACCAGAAGTTTAGAAACCAAAAGCTAGATATCCCTGCTCGAACTTTCAATAATTTATCGCCAATCGAACATCCGATGACACTGCACAAGAATCGACCTGCCAGCGTATTCACCTCAACGAGGATCAGTGTCAGCGGTTCGAACTTGAGACCGACGAATGACGAAGCCATGGCGAAAAATGGTAATATAATGGAAGGGTACGATGGGATTTCGAAGAAATTCCAAAACGACCATCCATCGATCGTCGATCTGGACGAAAAATCAATTTGCAATCTGGCCATCAATGATATAACGATGAATCAAACTCAATTGTCAAATATATTCGAAAGTAGAAGTATGTCAACGTCTGTTCGAACAACCACAGAGGCTTTGATTATTACTCTTAAATTCTATCGGGAAGAAAGGAATAACGGAATGCCTCGTAAAAAGGATACTTCGTTTTGCGAATGCCCACTCCTGAGAGTATTTGCTAATTTGCCAGGAATGTTTGGAAATTTTTCTGCTAAGTTATTCTCATCGCAGTAAGCATAGAAAAATTCTATACCTTCTATTCGGGTCTCTGATTACTCGAAAACAGGTACTGATTCTAGGAACGAAACCACGTACATGGAGCTTCCTAATGTTGGAAAGAAACTTAAGGTAACGAATCGGTATACGATAGAAGACAACGCGTATCGAGAAGAACGCCGAGTATAATATTCTGTCATAACGGAATAATATAAATAATATAAATTATTTAACAAAATAATTTCTTTTCTCGTTTTGGGAACAAGAATCTCAGCTAAGGTTCTTGATACAAATAATAATTCGTTATATAAATAATAATGGTAATGCATCTTTATCTTCTATCTTTTATATTGATATTTATGTTATTTATATATATTATATTATATTTATGTTATTTAATTCTTGACGATTGTTTGTCGTCGTTAATTATTGATATAAATTAATTATATACATATGTCTAAGTCGTATGCGTTATATATATTGTACATATCGATGCGATCGTTATTACAATTGTTTTTCATGGTAAATTAGCGATTGTAAATTAATTAAGTTTCTTGGTAAAAAAAAACCTTTTATAGCCCTTCGAAATATAACGTTCTAATTATACATGATCTTGTAACATTTACAACTGGATAATAATAAAATGCATTACTTGAAATTACCAACGTACTTCGTAGTAGTAAGAATCGATTAGCATATCATTCATTTCGATCAATTCTATAATAAACGTTCTTCATTCTTCTCTCTTATGTGCCGACACCGATTACCAGCTACATGTTGCTTCTTCGCAATTCAAACGAGAATCGCCCTTTATGCTTCGATTTGTTTTATCGTGGACCCAAGCGAAGCGTTATGTAAAGCAATTTGCGATAATCTTCGATTAATTAAAATAAAGTCACGATTCCTGCACAGTGCACTGCACATCCTTGCACAGTGATCTGCAAACTGAATAATTGGACGAATCTATTCTTCCTACGTAAATCACTTAATCGGGAGAAAATTATTATTTGAAAATTTGCCGATCGAAAAATATTTATTAGAAACGGATGATAGTAGCATAACAAGTAAATTGTTTAATTTAATCTTGCAGAATAGACGGAGCAATTTTATTATACCAAAATATGTCTATTTTAAGAATAGTCTTCAACGAATACCGTTAATTTTCATGGGAAGATTATTTTCGCAATTCTTCAAAGGCAATTTTTGGCATTTATTTTGGAAATCATCTCCGTCAAGGCTGAATTCTTAAGATCGACTTTTGACCAAAATTTCGATATAAGTATTTGTCCATGACAGTGGTCAGTTTACGTCAAAAGTATATGATCAGAACAGTCGGCGATTACGCAATGAAACACACCGCGTATCCTTTGTCGTCGTTTCCTCATTGAATCATCCAGAGACACGCGGCTTAATTAATCGAGACGAGAACATATTGCAGGTATTCCCATCGTTGGGTAACTGCAGGCGTTTTTCTTCGCGATAATAGCATTCTCCTTTTCGATCTGTGGCATCCTCGTTTTCTTACATTGCCACTGGCATAGGGACTAGAAATTTAATGCTTTTATAAATCCATTCGCTATCTTGATCAACCGGCAGCCAACTCGTATTTCTATTCACGGCGTGCATTGACACGATCAGATAATGAGAGACAACGGACGATCGAAAAACGAATTCCATTTCGCACGGTAAAATTATTCACCCGCCAAACGTTAACAATGCTCGACTCAACTAATTAAATCTGACCGATAGGGATCGAGGAAAAATGAAACAAATCGTGTTTTGATATTTCTGATGCGCGACTTCTTCTTCCTCTTTTCTTCTCTTGTTTGTTTCGTTCTTAATCGCCCGATCGGATATTTCCAGTGGTTTTCCTCTGTTTCTGTTCTCTAGCGGTTGCTACCAGCCTTCGTTATAATCGTTTACTCGAATCAATCTTATCAGTATTCAAGAATAAATCGTCTGACACACCTCCTGGTTATACAACCAATAACTCCCCCTGCAATAAAGTTGCAAATAAAACAACTATTGTAATATCGCATGCAAATAAACCAGAGCCAATGAAACTTCCACGTTAAACGTATCTTCGTATTAAATCGCTTTGCATAATTGAACATCTAACTGATAATTCATTTAAATTACTCGATCATGCGGAAGCTATTGTGTCTGCTTCTTACACGGCGTGACTTTTGTATCGCGTTCACGCGTGTACCTGATGATGGATGATCTATATCTCAAATAATAAATCGTCCTTAACAAACTCTGTATCCTTTGTTAATTAATCGCCATTGACGAGTGAACGCGTGTGTCACAGGACGTCGGGAAGGGACGTTGGATATCGGTTTGTTATAAGGAGACGCGTCGTTAAGAGATCGATACGACCTTGACCGATTAATGCGGAATTTAGTTTTGGAAATCTGTCATGGAATTAGGCGATGGAGTGCGTAAATAAATACAAGCGACCACGAGTATACGCGTCAGAAGCACCGAAATGAAGTTTTTGTTTGACGCGTATACTCGTCAAAGGCAGGTAACTGGTCAGATCGACGAACAATTGCGCGTTTCGATCTTCATTGGTTGTATCAAACCTCGGCCGATCAACCAAGTACTATAGTACTATAGTGTTATAACTAACTTGCAATCAACTCGTTTAACTCGTTATTTCCAGAAATAGAATCGCGAATTCGGTAGATCGTCGATGTCTATTGTTCGTTCGATATAAATCTTCGATGCTTTTCGAATACCACGCGGTAATTATCACGATGGAATGTGCTAGAACAAAGAAATGCTGTGAATAGATTGCGAATGTTTACGCAAATCGAAGGAATGGAATCTAAGTAAATACGTGCTTGTTAAATATTCGAAGTATCTTAACAACCAATAGCGTATATTTCGGATATGTTACATATTTTTGCATATAGTGTACATTTTAATATCTCTAAGGCGTAATTGAGTAAGTGTAATTGTAACAAAGTTCGAATACGCGTGACACTGGTTTACACAAGTTATTGGATTAAACTGAAGTAATCGTAATAAAAATAGCTCTTGTTTGTGCTTGTCTTTCTACAAGAAAACCAAGCGACCATACAACTGAGATTTCTTCAACGAAATATTTTGTGAATATATCTGTAATTAGGTATATCGTAAAACTGTATTTAATCAAATCACCAAGTTGTGGAATTATTCTTATTCCTTTTTATTTATCATAGATATATGCGTGTATATCGTTTTTAGTAATTAGATTTATTCCACCATGAATTCTAATTGCTAAAACACGTTATTATCTAACAAGGTGGAAAATTTGACAAAGGTCGTTCTTGTTAGGAGCCTGTCGATCGTTTCCTCCAACAAATTTCGACTATTTTATCGACAGATTTATCGATAGGTTTCCATTCGCTACTGCAAAAGAGCAATATATTACGATGAGTAACACAACCATTATATTTCTGCTACTTCCGAAGAGTGTTCCCAAGGACACATTTAATGAACCTCGTTATTTGAAGTTTTTTTTTTCTTCCTGATTTTGTAACTGTACGCTTCGATAGTGTTTCCTGTTGCCGTTCACGATAGAATAGCATATCTATCTATCTGCTATGCTAGATCATATTATAACTATACGAAAAATCCTATAGCAAACTCACTGTGACATAAATAACCATGGTAGACGATTGGGATATTTTTACGAATCGATTAAGGCCAGTTTCGTGGGAACCAGTTACAGGTAGTCCGCCAAAAACCGCGTCCACTTCCGAAACTGGCTTGTAGAACGTTTCCTTATGCGCGAGTTTGATTCATCATTGTCGATTAATTGAAAACGAATCGTTTCGCAAACCTGATTTAACGCTTTTGCCTTCTTTCGATCATTCTCGACCCAACCGTATTTTTCTAACGCAAAAAAGAAATACTTCGAGCTTGAAGAAAATATAAATAAATTTTTATTCCAACGAATGCTTTCACCTTGCAATCTTGCGTTGTACATCTTAAAACGTTACAAATCCTTTTTGTTCGCTAAAATTGTTTCTAACGCAAAATACTTCGAGCTTGAAGAAAATATAAATAAATTTTTATTCCAACGAATGCTTTCATCTTGCAGTCTTGCGTTGTACATCTTAAAACGTTACAAATCCTTTTTTTTTCGGTAAAATAAAGTATCATGAATTTTTCATTCTTTCGCAGGAAACATGTATATATGTATTTGGATCATAAAAGTATAAAAAGATAGATCAGTTTGAAATAGAACCCTAATGATAATTCGTCTGATAATTCTCATTGAACCTGCCGATTAGTATGAAGTGAAGCGTTGCGTAACTGATTTATTTTCCTTTAACGATCGATAAGACACAATGACTGCTCATTATCGCGATATTTTCTCTTTCTTTCCTTTCCTCGGTTGACGCACGTGATCTCAAGACAATCTGGTCATGAATCTAAAGAGACTTGTCCTGCAGCTGCGCGATCCCCTTGCAGACCTTGGATTTCCTTATCCTGATTACACGTTTGATCTTCCATATACGCAGGATTATACGTACTTTGTCTATGTATCAGGAAGAATCGTTCTTTGATCATTTAATTGATCCACGTGTAAATTACTGTCACGAATCATCCATTTGATGAAAAATCTTTCTGTTCGAGGAAAGTTTCAATCGTGTACCGAGTTACAATCGTGAAGATAAGAAGGTATAATTATCGATATAATATTCGATGATTAATATAATTTATATTAAAAATTCTTTTTCTATAATATATTTTTATAGTATATTTAACGCTAAATTTCGTGCTCGCATGCAGATTATTTACGTATCGCGAGAATCTTTATTTCACAAGTGACATTTAGAAACCATAGATTATCGATGAGTTATCGAAGACACGATTATTCATCGTTTGAATAAATCGAAGGTTTCTTTGACAATTTAGTTAGCTTCTTCGAAGGATAATCATCTTCGATCCTTCAGTTGTATCTATGCAATACATATTTTTCATCTGTAAATAATACCAATAATACCAATAATACCAATGTGTATAATATGATACCAATATACTACCAAAATGTGTGATACCCAGCCTTGCTTCAAAACTGACATAAATATATTTAGTTTTCCAAAAGGATACGAGAAAGCATCTTTCAACGTAATGACAAATTATTTTTCTAATTGAATTTATTAACGAGATTATCTTTTATAAAACAGGATCGGTCGTCCTGCTATATTTATGATCTTACTGAAACCTATGAGATTTCTTATAGCGGCAGCTTGAAAAACGTGTTCCTCGAGTTATGAAATTATGACACCAACGGTGAAATATGCACATATATCACTTAACGTGTAATAAAATATATATTTACGTTATTAAAGCAAATCGAGTCTCAGGGGACAGGTAAATAGGGATATCAATGTAAAATTATAATATACAATTGACAATTTAATTATTTGAAAACGTATGGTCTAACAAATGGGCATAAATACTTTTTATCCCTGTTATTTTATAATGTTATTTTCTTACAAATACCTTTTATGTAATTCCATTAGCGATAAATAAAACTGGTATGATATGGGTCTATGGATTTATAAGAGATCATTATGCTAGCTACTCGTTATCAAATATCGGATATATTTATACATTTTTTCTGTGTTTCAAATTCGGATTTTGCAATATCAATTATCAGCATGAATTCAATTTAATACAAATACAGCGAGAATCAGTAATGTAGGCTCGATTAATTATTATTAATACATAGCATGTAATCTATTGGTTCCACTTTTGTCAGCGTGTCGTTGGTAGATTCTCAGTAATCGTAAGCAATAAAATATTGTAATTATAATTGTAACAAAATACCTCGATCCAACAATGACAACAGAGTTTATACGATCAGCTGCATATATAATTTCGTAACAATTTATAGGGATCGATTGTTATTCAGGTTTACGCTTAAAGAAACTAAACCATTCGTCTCGTTGTTATCAGCTTGTCATGTTACCTAGAAGGATTTCATACGTAAGAAAAATGTTCTTATACTTTACGACTTAACCACTTCCTCTACGTATTAATCGTCGACTAATTTAAACGTTCCTTCGAGGCATTTCTTCGTATTAAAAAATATTGCACCTGGTTCTGCAATATTGCGTTACGGTGCCACGGATTTTTATCTCGGGCTGTCTATTCGTTAGGTCACTCGTAAGTTTATTTCGTAAGTAACCTTTAGTCGAAAATTATAAATAATTCATTTTCAGATAATTACGCTATTTCTACATACGATATCTTACGCTTCAATGGAATTTTCATTTATTTTTTTCATTGTCACAGACTTCTAGTCTCTCGAATTAGTCTCGATATTTTATTATATTTATTAAATCATTATGCCACAAACATTAATCTATTCTAACTATTTTATTTAATCACACTGAATACATTTCGTCTACTTAGGTGCTTCGCGATCGAAGCATTTACTCTCAAATCTTCGAGATTATAAAATTCTCCGCTGCTTTGAGGTAATCGAATAAAAGTTCAATAAATCGCGCGTAACAAGTAACAAGTCGATACTCTTTAATCGTATCGTCTAATGCTACCGAAGATATTCAAGATTTTTGGAGTTTCTAAAATTCCTTGCTATATAGATTATGATAATAAAATAAAAATTCAGAGCCTGCTCAAAGGCCAGCAATCGGTAATCAAGGATTAACGTGTTCTCATTTTATCAGAAAATCTCCCAAGCTCGTCACGTCGTAGATCGTTTTTAATTTTTCATCCTTGAAGAGTCCATTGTCTCAACGAGACACGTACGTAGAATAAGCGACGAAGATCTTCGGGGGTTGCTACGTTGGAACGGTTAACCTTGACAGGTTCGTAAAGGCAGTTCTTTCTGTTGCACCACTTCTCGGTAGAAAAGCGAGTATCATTCCCTTCGTTAAACATTCCATACGTAGGATTCGTCGAATACATGTTCTGTATGAGTGCGCGACAATTACATCAAAATCCGAGGGATACGCGGAAACAGCAATTACAGAAATTGGACTCACCTGTTTCGTGTGGTGAATCTTGTAAACTGTCTGCGGTACGTACAACGACTAATCGAGCTTCTTGGAATGGGTTACAATTTCTTGCGATTCAGCTGTTTTACTCGTTTCATAATCATCTATTTGCGTTGAGCGTGTTATATGAATATTTTATTTGCGACAACATCTTTAATAGGGCGTTACACAATATCGATAATAACATGATTGCTTTTCATGATAATCGACGCTATAATTATAAAAATACTGGTCGAACCAAACAGCATATCGAAATAATTAATCTGGAACTTTTTTATCAAAATTTCATAGATTCACAGATGTGCAATCTTACGGGGTTTACATGAATTTTTAACAAATATTAGTCTTTTCTTCCCGTGTTCATTTCAAAGTATACACTCTACTAAAGTATTAGGTCATTAGGTGTTAATGATAAAATCCGCAATCACTTAGTTGCCAACCAAATATACGTACGAAATGTATTTTGATGTTTGGAAACTTCTATATTGGAATGTAATATTACCCAAAATCTTCTCGAGTTGAAGGTTTTCTCGCTTCTATCGGCTTTTCTTCTAACGTACTCAAATAAGAAGACGCTCCAATGTATTAGCTTCTTAAATGTGCGAGGAAAATGTTTTAATCACCGAAGAATATCGCCTCCACGAACTCGAATTGCACGGTGTGATGTCGGGAACGGGGAAAAACCGCGACTCGACAACCGGTCCGACCTACTGCCGTAGGATTCCCCGTGAAAGGTTATTGACAGATACGGAGAAAGAGTAGTCGAAAAGGAGTCGTCCTTAAGAAAGTGTAGTAACTCGAAACGACAGGTTTTATCGAAGAATCATGTTACATATCTTTTTCCTTGTAATTCTCGTTGGAAACGCTGTTATTGATTAACGATTTGATTTTTTCCTTTCAGCAATTTTTCATTCCGTAGTTATCTCTAATTAAATTTTACATTTAAATCGATTGTTGATATTACGTCGTAGTGGTATTTAATTACGGCATATTTTTTATTCTCGATTGCGGTTAAAAATATATCCAAGCGATCGATCAGAGTTGATCAGGCTTCTCCTTGAATCATAATAATGTCGTTACATTTTTTGTATCTAAAATCAATTTTTCTATGAAACAACGAATTCGTTTCGTGAATACGTCTCCTCCCTTTCGTCTAAATAACGCGATCATTAATCAAATAACTTGCTGACCATTATGCAATCTCATGCTATTCCAAACAGAAGCGAAGAAACGAAGTTTATTTAGAAATTTGTTTTTCTGAAACTACACATCACCCAGTAATCTGTTTTTCGACGTGGAAACATCCCATTGATGAATCATTTTAATTGGTCGTGCAGTTGCTGGAATACCAACGACGAGTTAAAATACCGAATTGCTTTTGTCCCACTCGTTGTTTATTCAAAGTAGGTCATCGTCTATTAATAAAATTATTGACGAAATTACATAGTGTACGTAGATGTGTGCAATTTCGATCTCTAATTTGCGTTTCGACTTTCAACATGCTGTCAAGATGTATTACTTTACCAAACATTTCCGTGTTTGACATGTAATTTCCGGTGTCGCTAGATAGTTACGCTGGCAACTAATAAAATTCTAAACGTTCGAATAGCGATAGGCCCTCTTATCAGATCCTAATCATTGACAGCTTAGACACTGACAAAACATTTCAACTGTTACTCGAACGAGTTAAGCCAACCGTGCTGCAACGCTTAACGATCACATACATTCTAAATAATTACAATAATTAAGGATTAATTTGCATCCCTCGCTGTCTTAGGTTTCACTCGAGATCCACGCAAGGTCGCCAAGCACACGTAGAACGCGTGTCTCGTTATATCACAATCCTGATACGCGAGTAAACACACTTTACACATAGAATGGAACTTTCTTGTATTTTATTCTACGTTCGTCCTGCACCGACTCGTCCACCAAAATAATTTTCTTTTCTTTCAACCCTTACAGCTCCACATTATGGTTTGACTGTCGATCCATGTGAATTTTGCTTCAGTATCGTTATGCTGTGGTCGTAGCCATGCTATTTGTAGTTATTACGAGTAGTATCTTTTCTATCTTTTGCATGATATAGCATTTTGAATGATAATTAGAAAAGCCTACTTGCATTTGTTTGGCTCTAAAATAAAAACGTGCACCGAAACTATATCCACTCTATCCACGAAACAAAGCCAACGTATTTCTCTGATATCTTTTAAGAGTAAACTCCACTACGTCGTTTGCTTCATTTTCTATGGAATCATATTTTTTCGTTATTAAAGAATTTTTTAAGACTAACGCAGAATTACGAAAGAATCGAACGCGAAATAAGAAAACGACTGATTTCTCGTTTCAGTTACGCGCTAGAGTTTCTTAAAGCATTAAAATTCTTTTCCTCTGTCATCGATTGCTTCTACTCAAGTTCTTTCGAAACTCTTATTTTTATCGGATAAATTTCATCGAGAAACGATCGTACAGTTATCGCTGAAATCGTAACGGACAACTAGACGTTTAAAAGCTTGCTTCGATTCGCTAACGACAGTAATAGAAAACGTGGCTCGGTTGTTCGATCTCTTTGTCTTCGAATCAAGGATTAAAATGTCTACATGCGATATTTGTACGCCTTTTACCACCGGGTTTTCACTGCTAACAAAAAGTTATCGCAATACCGATCAACATATTAGTCACCGATTTTAACATCGCTCCTACTAATGTATTCCCCGTTTCGCAACAATTTCACGGTACAATGTGCCCACTGTTTTTCTTACGTTCTATATAAAATCTAGATTTCTGTATCGCGTCCGATTGCAACAATATCTCGCCGATCGTGAAATAAATCGAAAAAGACGATTCGAGATACCAGCATGACGATTCTAACCATGCGGCGTCCGTCTTTTCTTCCTTCCTATCTTTCTTCGTCCCGTAGTTATAGTTTTCTTCTCACCCTTTACCTTCCATTTAACATTGCGTTGACTCGTATTACTTGGCGAATAATTAAGCAGAATTATAATACAACTTTCTTAACGAGAATCACGAACTTTGAATGTTCCATCAATAAGCTTGCTGTCTGGAAAATAAGAATTCAGAGGGTGGTTATTTTTTTAACGTTATTTTTACGTTATTTTTTAAATTTTTTAAATTTTTAAATTTTTAAATTTTTATTCTACATTTTCGACTTCTTTTTTCGCGTAGAATCACCCCCTTTCCGCTTGTGCCACCAGTTACCAACCACCCTGTAGAAAAATTGGAAAGATTCTTGTTCAATTTAAATGGATATCGTTCACATGACGTCTTATACGCTGAATCGAAGATATACGTAAATCTGTAAAATTCGACAGAATCACGAGATTCTTCTTCGGAAGTTTTATCGATAAAATATTATCTGGAAACTGAAAATACGGGAAAAATCGAAGAATTGTCGTTCGATTGAATAATGTATTTTTCAAACGTCGTAGTGTATGTTACGTTATAATGTGATAGAATCAATCAAGCGACTGTTGATTTCGTAACATCGTGACACGAACGAAGACACTCGGTTTCCGTCGGGATGTCACCGCGAGTCAGAAATCTCGATTATGGTTGCTTATCCAGAATAAGTGGTTCGTGAATCGCTAGAAGATCCCTATGAAATATGTCGAGTCTTAACCGAGCTACGTCGGCCATAAAATTCCAAGGCATTCCAGGAGCTTAACTCACCGAGGGTAGAATTATCTTCGAATCATGGAAACGTTTCGAGAAGATTTTCCTCCAAGTAGATACGAAGAAAAATTCCTTTATCTTCATTTTTAATTTTCATTTTCCTGTTCACATCTATTTATTTAATCGACGTCTCGCTCTAACTATTCCATTTACACACATAGAACGAAACTCGGACGAAAGATACGTCGTTTCGTTGAACGAAGAAACAAAATCTTTTCTTCTTTCCAAATTCTTAACCCGTCTTTTACAACGGTGCATCTTTACACAAACGTGAAACCTAATCTGTCGAACGTTGTGATTTTTATTTCGGTAGAACGAAGTAGAACATGCGTAATTCGATAAAATAATATAAAACGAGAAATGTCGTGCATCTATTGTTTCCTTATAGAAGGAAAGAAACTTTTCGGGCGAGCTAATATATTCCTTTGTGTGCAACAAATTTAACAAATTCGAATATAATAATGTTCACAGTATATGTATATATTATAATAAATATTATAATACCACAATACAATGATGGATATCGAAGGAGCCAAGAATTAAATTTAAATAATTATAGCGCCTATGGTATATGGTATAATATATAGAATATGGTAACACAGATACGACTGTCACTTCCAGAAATATAAAAATTCATCCAAATTATACAGTTTCGAAGGGATCTCTTATCGAATATAAATCGCTGTTCGATGTGCAAAGGGTTAAAATCACTGTAGAAATTCCAAAGTCACGACGATCTCGCGACCATTTCACGATTCACTATCGATCACGACTCGAGAAAACGATCACGCTTCGTTGCTCGTTGATTAATCGGACGCGAGACAATGACAGGTTAAAACTAGGATGAGCGTTCCTTGAACTCGTTGAATCGCCTGTCACAACCTCCGGCAGACTGAACACGTGGTAAAAACAGCCGATCAACAGTTCGACCGGCATTACGAAAAACCGATCGAAGTTACGTAAGAAAATGACGTGTCGGCGGAACGTGTAGAAGATTCTTTTTTTCTTCTTTTTTTTTTTTTTTTGCCAGACCAACGCGATACCGTTTTCTGTTTGTCTCTGTTGCTAAAATTGCTACAGATACATGCGTTCGATCGAGATCTGGTTCCGATGCGATGACAATCTGTGACGAGAATCGAAGGTGAAACGATGGATTTCCGGGGCCTGGTGTAACTTAAAAAGCGACTGTCGAAATTCTCCGTTTCAATGACATTGGAAGAAGAGAAAGAGCTTGCTTGAGAGAAAGAGAGAGAGCGCTGTTTTCAGGAAGTGGCGAATCGACAGGGTAAACGCAGGACTCAAGGTCAAGTGGCGGAAGCAAATTGACGGATGAGTGATCGTGGCCATTGGTCGTCGATGAAATATCTACGAATGATTATCGATCGTTTTGCACGAGTCAGATTTTTTTAACGCGTTCTTTGACCCCTTCAGGGACAAAATCGATAAGATCGATAAGATCAGGTGTTTTCACCTGATATTATGCGAATTTTATATTATACGATATTTTTGATAATATTTCACATTACGAAATAACGAAATAACATTAAAATATGAAATTTATATGGAAACGAGATAATAATACTTCGAAGATTCTCAGAGGAATAACATGTACGTAACGTAATTTACGAACAATGAACAAAGCGCAAAGAACTATCATCTAA